GGGGGAGAAGCCCGGGGAAGGGGATGGATTTGGCAAGGCTGGGAGGCATCGAAAGCAACAAGCGCCTCCCGGGGCTCGATCTTGCTCGCATCTGGGGATCTCCGCTGCTGCTCACGTCTGGACCGGTATATTCCTCCCGATTCGCTGCAGGACTCCGTGCGGAGCAGCCCCAGCCCTCCCAACAGCACCGGCGGCACCATTGACAGCGACAGCGGGGAGCCCCACTATGGGGACGCCCCCTCGGCCATCTCCCTCGGCCAGCTCAAGCGGGGCCAGCCCTACTCTGCCCTGTACCAGTGGGATGAGCCTGGCAGCTTCCTCCTGGAGAGGAAGAAGCCGGAGAAGATGAGGAGGAAGAGGAAGCTCGGGAGGAGGGAAGAACCGGCGCCAGTGGCGGCAGCAGAGGAGGAGTACCGGGCGAAGCTGCTGAAAGCGGAGGAGGAGGAGGAGCCCTACGCAGCGGGGACGCCCACAAGTCCCTCCTCGGAAGGTGAAGCTCAGTTGTCGGCGGACCGCTGCTCAGCCTGGGACTCAGACACTCCCTCCAACGCTTCTTATCCCCCGGTGGTCCTCAAGGAGGAGCAGGGCCTGATCCAGACAGTGGGCAAGCGCACCATCATACGGCAGGGGAAGCAGGTGGTGTTCCGTGACGAGGACGGCAGTGCGGATGACGAGGACATCATGGTGGATTCCGGTAGGCGAGATGGGAGAGGGAGGGCACGGCCTCGGGCAGCCGCCAGGGCTTCCCTTTAGGAAGTGTGAGCGTGTGGGAGGGAAATCCATAGCTACTTTGTGATGCGGGGATGGCTGCTTGCTTGCTCCTGGAAGGATTAGCACTCCAGTTGTTGCAGAACTGAATCCTGCTGTTGCAAATGGGTCTTCTTGGGGCTAAGCCCTGGTTCAGATTAAGCCTCAAGAATTCCCTGCTGGTCATAGCCAAGGAAGGGACTCTGATCGGCCAGCACCTCATGCTCCCGACTAGCCAGGAAAAACAGTGCATTATAATAAATCAGGAGGAAGGAGGCTAAGGGAACTGCCCCTCCACCCGAAGGGAAAGCAGGAAATGCACAGAGGACTGTACGCACTGTTGGTCGCATATTTATCCTGTCTTTCCTGTAATGAACTAAAGGATCTTCCCGTCCCCATGCTATTTTCACAACAACCCTGATAGATAGATCAGACAGAGCAGAAATGACTGGCACAAATTGACCATCGTGGCTGGCTGAAATCTGAACATGTGGTTTCTTAGAAATATAAAATGTGAAGAAATGTTGAAGCCACGTAGAAATGTTGAAAAAAAGGTGTTTTATTTATATTTATTTATTTAACTTTTCCCCCGCCAAGGCAGGCTCAGGGTGGCTTACATTAAACCAATAAAACAACATACAGCTCAGTGTAAAAATCCATAATAAACAATTTAAAACAGTTGATATAATGATGGCAGTGCGATATCATAAAATGCATTTAAGAACACATTCAGCGGTGCTACCACTCTAGGTAACTTCTAACTCTAGGTCGGCACACGGCATGGCTGGTAAGATGCCGCTCCTATCGGAATGCCTGCCGGAAAAGCTCATGGCCCATTTGTTTAAATGGAAGGTCTGGGGAAACACTTGAAAGATGCTTAATATTTTCCCATAAAGCCTAAATTTTTGCTGCTTTAACAACATTAAATGCAACATTTATCATTTAGCATGTAACCATTATGCTATTTGTCATTTTTATGTCACTCAAGAGTGTAAATGTCTTAGTTTTCCCCAAGCAAAACTTGTTTATTTAGTTCTTTTGCATTGCACCTTTCTCCTTAATGGGGATCCAAAGCAGCTTACATTCTTCTCTCCTCCTCCGTTTCATCCTCACAACCCTGTGATGTAGGCTAGGATTGTAAATAGGCCCAATACTTGAGAGAGCTGCACACTTCGGTACTCTGTGCTACCTTAGCGCAGGTATTGTACATTTTTGCCCACTGAGAGGGAAAAGATAGAAGGTAGAAAACAAAGCTTGCAGTAAACAAATAGAAATGTGCTTATTTGGACAGAACACAGCCCCTTGCAATCTCAAAAGGACTACCAGCATATTTGGATACCAAGTTAAAGTTTAAACTATGGCAAACACTAAACTCTAATGTATTATAAAATTATAGCATATTAATTGTTGCCGAAGTATTCATATAGAAACATATCCCCAGTGATCTGTGGTATCTGTCTGCAGTCTGCACATAGTGATTATTATTGAATGTTGCAGATTTCAAGAGTCCTTTCCAGGGCCCTACCTCCAATTTTTTTGGGTGGAAATATCCAAAATAAAATGTATTCTGAAGTTTTCTGGGTTTTTTGCTCGTGGTATTCTGATCTCTAATAGGTTTCATAGCTCACATTTTGGTCATCTCATGATGTATTGCCCTGACCTGGACGGCCCAGGCTAGCCTGATCTTGTTAGATCTCAGAAGCTAAGCAGGGTCGGCCCTGGTTAGTATTTAGATGAGAGACCACCAATGAAGTCCGGGATCAGTATGCAGGGCCAGGCAATGGCAAACGTTTGTCTCATGCCCTGAAAACCTACAGGGTCGCCATAAGTCAGCTGTGAGTTGACAACACTGTCCACCACCACGATGATGTATTTCATTCATTCTAAAAGAGAAGATAACTTCATAGTATCTTCTTCTATGGATCATGCTACCACTGCTGACAGCAGACTCGTGGGGGACAGTGTCTGGTGCTGCCCGACAGTTGCTCCAAATGAATGGCTGTCTTCTCGCAGTGAACAATCCTTACACAGTTGTATTTGGAATGTCCACTTTTGGTGCTGGCCTGGTTCTCCTGAACCTATCCTAATACAGCTCCCTTTCCTCTGGACATTTGCATGCCTTGTCTGTACATCCCCTTGGTGTGTTTTAATATTGTATTGGCTGAATTATTTATGCCGCTAGGCGTGCTGGTTTGACAGCTGCCTTGAGCCTCTTCTGGGAAAGTTAGGATATAAATATTTTATTTATATAAATGTTAAAAATCCCTGGACCGTGTTCCCATCAGATGACGATTCCTGGGACCTCGTGACTTGCTTCTGCATGAAGCCCTTTGCCGGACGGCCCATGATCGAATGCAACGAGTGCCACACCTGGATCCACCTCAGCTGCGCCAAAATCCGCAAGTCCAACGTCCCCGAGGTCTACATCTGCCAGAAGTGCCGGGACTCCAAGTTCGACATCCGCCGCTCCAATCGCTCCCGGATGGGCTCGCGCCGACACTTCCTGGACTAGGAGACAGACCCTTCCCTGAGATGCAAATGGACTCACCCTGCAGAACTTAAGACTCTATTTGGCAGGGAAGGAGCAGCGACACAAGCAATGGTTTCCCCTCTGTGCTGGGAGCTTGCTGGGTGTAATGGTACCCCAGGGCCCCTTGAATACCTGAACCACTGCTGGAAAAGGGACTGATCCAGTGTCTGAATCAGCTGGAAAATGCTAGACTGGGAGGATGATAGCAAGAGGCTGGCAGCCTCTTGCGTGCATCTCTCCCTCTCTACTGCTCACCTTTTTATCCCAGCATGAAAAGATACCAGTGGGTGCTGAAGGAACTGCACACTGAAAGAGCAGAGTTGGGGTTTGGGAACAAGGTGTCTTGGGCACTGAAGGAGACTGCAGCTGTCGGTCTCTGTCCCAGGCCAGCGTCAGGTCTGTCCCTTGGTTTGTGCCTGGGATCTCTCTTAAAGGTTGTGGTAGGGAGAGAGACTGTAACCCGCCCCATCCGGTGGTTTGTCAGTAGCAGGGATGCCACCCCTTTCCTGAAGCTGGGCAGTTCCAAAAGCAGTGTTTGTGAGCTGGGCGTTTGATGGAAGAAGCCATCTGTGGGTGAGGATGAAAATGAAGGTTCACCGGCCTGGCTGAGTTTTCTCCTGTATGTGTTTTTGTTTTGTTTTGTTTTTGATAACTCTAAAGACTCTGGTCAAACGTAGCTTCAGTTTTGCTTTACTAGACTGTCCCTTCTCCCCAGGTGTTCCGAGGGTGGAATAGGTGCACATTTTTATTTTTTAGTGCTAGATGCAGAGAAATACAGGAGGGAGCAAAAGCCAGCCCCTGGGCACCAAGAAGGGTCAGGCTAGCCCCTTTTAAGAGCAGAGGAGTATGGAAGTTGGGATGTCTGATCACAGGCCCTGTGGATTCTGGCTGAGGGCTGCTTTAAGGAACTCATGTGGAGGAAGAAGACACTTCTCTCACAGTGGGGAAACAGTGGGGTACTTCTGAGCATCGCACAGACTGAATCCTTGTTTGCAAGATTTCAGTGTTGCTTTAAGAAGGCCAAATTCTCTGTCCAGTCAGAGAGACAAGGGGCAAGCTTTTATGAGGGAAGAGCGTAGTGGAGCTGCTCCACAGAGCGTACCCAGGTGGACCTCCGTGCCTTGGCTCAATCATCAACAGCCAGCCTTGCGGGTATTTCCTGTGGACAATTCATGCGAGATTGCATGAAATCTCAAGATCTGTGGAGCCCCCGGATTCAGGTGGGCTACTAAACAGTGATGTGGTGGGGAATTCTCTCCATCCCCTACTTAATCAGTTACTGATAGGCTAGGTAGGGCCTCGTTGGTTGTGTTCTTCTGCTTTGATCTTGAGAGTCCATCCACATGGAAAAGCTCGTCCAGGACATCTTACCAAGATGGAGAAAGTTGGATCCAACTTGCTCCTTCAGGCAAAACCATTTGCCAGAGATGGTTTCCCCCGTAGCGAAAGCCCGCCCCCAGGACACTTTTCCCATCGCAAAGAAGCGATACTGGCAGCCTGGGACCCCATCTCAGGTTTTTACTTCTGCAGAATCACTGTGGGATTCTTTCCTCTAACTTGCAGGTGTGAAACAAGACCTTTTGGGTTGACTTCAGGGTTTCTGCTCTAGGATTTAATTTCAGTTCTGTTGTTGTTGTCTGTTTCTTCACACTGGGTGGTGTCTGGTAACCCCAAATTATTGGATTTTTCAGCTGGAGACTAAACACCTGCATGTCTGAGTACATCCATGTACAATTTCAATTTGGGAGCTTTAATTTTTTTTTTTTAAAAAAAATTAAAATTACTTGTTTTATCAGAGCTGGCTTGTCTGTCTGTAAAGTTTAAAACAGTTGTTGTCTATGGGTGGCTTACCTGGGTCACAAACACCAGGGCTTTGTGACATGCCTGGAATACAGGGGCCCTTGGACCTCACTTCAGTAGAGAGGCTAGGAAACCAAGTTGGCCTCCTGTGAAGGCAAGGAGACACCAAGTAGGGCTTCATATGTGTTTTTGTTCATTTCAGTTTGTATTCCACCCTCCCCGCAAGCGGGCTCAGGGTGGATCACAGAGCAAAATCTAAAACATAAAAGTTTTATCCATATCAATATAATTTACAGAACAATGAAAACAGTTTAAAACAGCATATAGACTGAAAGACAGGTTACACTATTCGTATACATAGATTTCAAGCTGGTGTCGTTTGGTGTCGAGAATCTTCTTGAGCTGAGCCGCATAGATATAGTAAACCTTAGAAGAGGGGGGGAGGTGAGGTTGAGCCATGTAGAAATAGTAAACTTCAGCGGGGATGGGGGGGGGGATGGAGTTTTAGCGGACCCCTGCTGCCTCAGACAAAGGCTCAAATGAGGGGCTCATTAGGTGTACCATAGCCTGAGGCTAGAATAACACTGCTTTGTCAATGTTAGCTCCAGCTTTACAAATGCTTCCTGTAGACTCTTCCAAGGGGGAGGAAATGTATGTTGAAGTAACTACCCTGCTTTGGGTGGAGGAGTCCTGAACCCATTTCCAGAAAATGCTGTGGTATTCTAGGCACAAAGTCCCACATTCTGCCCACTGGCAAGCCCCTGTTCTGTTGGTCTCTGCAGTGAGAATGGGGGGGGGCTCCCCCTGAGAAATAGGTATCATCCAGGGTTGCCATCCTCCAGGTGGGAGCTGGAGAATTCCCAGAAATACAACAGATTTTCAGGTTACAGACATAAATTCCCTGAGAAAAAATGGACTCTATAGCATTATACTCTTCTAAGATCCCGCCTCTTCCCGTACCCTGTCCTTCCAAATCTCTAGGAATTTCCCAGTCTGGAGTTGGCAACCCTACTGCCCTGTTTTAGCAGGGCAGGGAGTACTAGGAGGGAAACCAATACATTAGGTGGGTGGGGGAAGCTTATGCTAGCTGCTGTAAACAGACTAACACAGCTACCCCACTGGACTATGTATCTTCTGTAGGCGTTAATAGCAGCATCTGGCTTCACTGTGCTGTGGAAAGAGGGTCCGTGAGCGAATGCACAGTGTTACAGTAGAAGTTCTCTTACAAAGGAATTTCAGTGGGGGATTAGAAAGAGACTGCTGAATTGCAATTGACAATGAAGCACAAGACAATGCATCCACCTGGGCTATCACACCTAATTCAATCACCCTTGCTACTGTCATTTCCCAAGCCCTTCTTCCTACTACACTTGCTATTGTCATTTCCCAAGCCCTTCCTGGGAGAGCCAGTTTGGTGTAGTGGTTAAGTGTGCGGACTCTAATCTGGGAGAACCGGGTTTGAGTCCCCACTCCTCCACTTGCACCTGCTGATGTGACCTTGGGTCAGTCACGAGCTCTGGCACAGCTGTTCTTGGAAAAGAGCAGTTTGTGTCAGAGTTCTCTCAGCCCCACCCACCTCACAGGGTGTCTGTTGTGGGGAGGGGGAGGGAAAGGAGTTTGTAAGCCGCTCTGAGACTCCAAGTGAAGGGCGGGGTATAAATCCAATCTCTTCTTCTTCTTCATTTGTCTGCTAATGACATTCAGCATCTGAAACCACTCCACCTTCCAATATATAGGATCGATGGACTCCCATTCTAGCTGTATCTGAAGAAGTGACCAGTGACTCATGGAAGCTCACCCCCTGCCACAAATTTTGTTAATCTTTAAGGTGCTACTGGAATCCAGCTCTTTTCGACTGATACGAACACAGCAAGCCAGGGTCTGGATTGGGTTGCCAGCTGTGAAAAAAGGGGTGTGTATTGAGCCAACTTCAGAGGACGGCGGAAGACAGGAGGGCCTGGCGGGATCTGGTCCATGGGGTCGCGAAGAGTCGGACTCGACTGTGCGACTGAACAACAACAAAAAAGCGTCAGAGAGAACAGCAGCTGACTCCCAACTCTACTCACCTATCAGAAAGGTTGTTCCAGGGCAAAGGGCACTCCACTCCGCTGCTGTCTTCATTGAGGGGACTGCCTGTTGTCATGGGCATGTGTCTCCAGATCCTTTTTTTGGAGGCAGAAGCCTTGGAACACTGAATGTTTCCATGGACACCTCCACGTTCCACCAGAGTACGCATATGAACCGAAGCTGCTCTCGCACGCGGCGCTACGCCCCCATCCCCGCAGATGGCGACGTTTAAACTGAACCGGAACTTTCAGCCCCGTCTTTCCCCTTATCCCTACGAGGACGAGCTAACTCGTGGAGCTTCGCAGGCGCGGACAGAGCTTGATGTCGCGCTCCCTTCCGGTGCCTATTTGCACGTCACGGACTCCTCCATATGCGTGGGGAAAGCCCCAACATTAACGTGGCTACTGTAACGTTTGATTCGGAAGGGCTTGGGAAGGAAGGCAGGGCCAAGCGGGGAGGCACCAGGAGGAAAGGACGCGGCCTTCCAGAGACCAGAAATTAGGAAGACGTCAGCTGCTGGGAGCGAAG